GTGGACAAGCTATTGGAATCTCTGTCTCAGGCACCTCAGCTGTCAAATGGAGAAGGGAGCCTCAGGTGACATGGGGATCAAATGAGGTTCCACATATGGGCCCTCACGTGTGGCCTGACACTCAGATCAGACGGCTTCAGTGAGGTCTGACCACAGGTCTCATGAGCCTCTTAAGCTTTTGCTTTCTTGTCAGTTCTTTCCTGTCTTATCTGAGTATTCTATGATACTTGTTTCTCTCCTTAATTCCTGAATTTTGCTAAATGCCAAGACTTAGTCTTTGACTTCATAGTCTCCTGCTCTCTTAGTCATGTCCCTCAATAAAAACAATAGTTGGTATTTACTGTGAAATCACTACACACTGGGATTTGTGCGTTGTGACTTCCAGGAGGTTCCAGTGTCACACCAAAATCAATTTCCACAAAACAGCATTGAGCCCTTCACTTTTTGGAACTTACCTCCCTCCCCCATTCCTCTGCCACATTCATCCAGCTATCAAAGGTCAAACCCAAAATGCTATCTTTGATAATTCCTTCTCTTTCACCCCCTGTAGTCAACCTGAAAACAAATTCTTGTGTTTTTATCCATTCTGACACCTCTTATTGGGATTTTAAGATTGTGACTCAGTGTACTTGGGTTTGGCTCAGTAAGGGACCCAGTTCCTAGGGCTGCATGGCTACGACTAGAATGTGGGTGGTCTGACCCTCATCCCAGGATGCCAAGATGCTATGAGCATCTTTAAATGTGACCCTGTGGCTTATAGACTCCCTGGCCCAAGATGATCTCAAAAGTTTGAGCAAAGTACATGAAATCAGAAAATCCCGACAAGTCAAGGGGAAAGAGAAGGGGACTCGCATTTACTAACAGCCTACTACGAATCAGGAATTGTGCTAAGTGTTCTTGCTTCCAAGATGGGCTGATGGTATAATTTTTTAGATATACAAAAGTGACGTCACAATGCTGCTTTCTTATTGGCACTTCATAGGGCAGTTCCTTATAGAGGTAGTCCCCTTGGATCATTTTGTCACTGACCTCCCAAAGGTTGATCACCTTGGACAAAAATGGAAGTCTACTATTCTTACGCAAGAATCATCACTTCATGACTGTATTTCCTCATTCATTGATTTAATCATTCATTCGACAAATATTTATTGAGCCCCTACTGTGTACCAAGCCTGTGCTGAATGCTGGAGGTGCAGCTGCGAGCACCATTCCCTCAAAATACAGGAAAATGAGCTACACAAGTGACTGCTGAGGAAGTAGGGGGTAGTGGAGGAGCACACAGAAGGCGGCCTTCTCAGATGAGCAGGGCTCTCTTTTCTCACTTCTCTCCCAGCTCCTCCGCTCCGCCCCCACTGCTTCCATCCTCATGGTTTCACACCTATATTCTCACAATAAGCTCCTGGCCTCCAGTCTCACCACCTCCAATCCATCCTTCACACAGTCATCTCAGCCTTTTTTCTCTAATGCAAATCTGATCGTCTCAAAGTTTCCCAACCTTCAAACTCTCTCCTAGCCTTTTGGATAAAACTGAAGCTCTTTTGCTTGGGATATTTTCCATTCGTACTTGATCTCGATCTCTCTGGCCTGATGGTTTGCTATGTCATGGAGCTAAAAAGCCACATCTCTCAGTCCAGCCACATAGAACTACTTCCAACTCTCACATAGGTAGATTTTTTGTGTTTTTTTTTTCTGCCTAGAAAGCCCTTCTCCACTCCTTGTCCTTCAACACTCAGCTCACCTCTACCTCCCTAAGAAACCTTCTTGACCTTCTTTCCCTCTTGTAGGTGGATGCCCTCCCTTTGTGCTTACATAGCATCCTGGGCATAGCTGTATCCAAACACTCCATGACATTAGTTGTTAATTAGTGTCACCCAAGTGCTGTTCATCTCTGTATCCACACTCCAGTGCCATGTGCTCTAGCCACATGGAATGGCTTAAAGTTACCCTAATTCATCAGGCAAGCTCACAAATTTCCTCTGTCTGGGATGTCCTTTCTATCCTTCCCTGGCTGGTAAAAGACTATTCATTTTTTGAAAATATCTCAAAGATCAACTGCTCAAATCCCCCAGGGAAAGAAAAAAAATCACTTACATGTCTGTACTATTGGCACTTGATTTGCCCAACAATTATAACAATGAATCAGATTGCATCACAGTTAGCTAAACACTATATTACATTTCCTCACCCTTGAAAGCTGGAGCTGTTTTTAAATTCCTGTTCTTTTTTTTGCTCTCCAGCCTCCAGCACAAAGTAAGTGCTGAGGTATGTTGTCTAAATGTGAGAAAATCCACTGGCAAAGATGGAGTGAACAGCATACATGTTAAGAGTTTACAGTAAAGTACAGAGCTGACCTACTCTTTAATTATTCCACAGGTACTAATCTTGTATTTACAACTAGATCATAAACCCTTTGAGGACTAGAACTGTGTTATACATTTTTATATGAACCCAATGCTAAGTATGGGATAGGTGGTCAATGAACACTTGTAAATAATATAATCAAGTGAATTGAAAATACAGCTATAGTAAAAAGCAAAAATTAATCTTAATCTTTTCTTGCCAAGTTTGGCAAAGAAAATGATGACGATGTTCACTATGAAATAAAAAGGAAATAACCTGACAATTATAGTTTAACCCTTTCTGTGTCAATTTTAACTTGAAAATGTTTCTCGAAAGGTCTTTACCTCACTAGTTGTTAAAAAAAAGAAAACAGCCCTTTCAAGTTTCTATGTTACTGAATGCTTTTTAAATATCACAGAAGCAAAACTGTGTGTAATAATATGCACCACTTTCCCAATTTCCTATTCTTTTTCTCTCTCTCAAAAACTTCACCCTTCACTATGTTAACTTATGAATCAAAGTCTCTTTCACATGGGAACTTTCCCAATGAACCTCATGCATATGTTTTCTCCCACTTCAAAAAAGTTACAAGATGTTAAAAATTAAAAATTAAAAAAAAAAGGGGGGGTCAGCAGAGTGCTTGCCTCCACCTGTCATCTTAAAAATGAAGACAATACCCTCTGACAACCCACAGCCACAAGTACTGGACCTGAGCCTCCGGTGTTTTCTCCCGCGGCACCAGCCTGGCTGCGGGTTCCCCACACACTTACAAATCCAAGCTCCTGACCTACAGAAGAGCCAAAACTACACCTGTCGGCCCCTCCCGCCCTCCACGCGTGGACAAAGCACCGAGGTGAACACTCAGCAGGCACTTTCCGGACGGGAGGAGTGGATCTGAAGCTGCGCCAGGGTGAGCCGGGAGCCGCGTGGGGACACCCAGGTGCGACGCTCCAGGAACCCCCGGTGCGAGCCGCAGAGGAGCCCAGGCCACCCCCGGCAGCAGGGACACGCGAATTCCGTGAAGGCCGCCGCGCCCCACGCGGGACCGCCCGCCTCGGGTGGCCTCTAGTCCCTCCCCTCCTGAATGGCCACCAACTGTCCCTCTTCTCGCCTTTGTCCCGGCCAGGGCCCCTCGCAGGCTGACGGTCTCTGCGTCTTCAAAGAGCCCCTGGATCTGAGGCAATTCCCGGGTGCGCGGAGACCCGCCCGGGAGCGGGCGTTTTCCAGGGAATCCCCTCCTCGGGCACCTCTTCCCTGGGACCCAAAATACCAGACCGGTGCCCGCCCCTGGGCAGGTATCAGGCTGCAGAGACTCTTTCCCGCGAAAGTGGCTGAGAGGGAAACCGATATCCCCACAAAGAAAAATAACCCAGAATCCTCCACCTGGTCCACGTGTGTCATGAAACCCCAGGGCCAAAATAAAGCCCGGCAGCCCCGGGCTGCCACCGCGGCCACCCGG